AATGGGAAGCCTGAAGATCTGCCCTGGGTTTGCCCRCTTGGCCTCTTTGGAAACAGACGGTCCTCGAGAATGCCGCACCGGCCCCACGTCCACTGGCAGAGCATGGCGAGGGCTTTGGAGATTATTTGCTAATTAGAGGTGCTAGCAGGTGATTTTCTCCACCTTTTGCTCAATTGCCTGACTTCTCTAATGTTATTTAACTGTTTCTTTCCTGCTTTGACATGCTCCCTTGCTCAAAACCCTGTCATCGGTCTGGTCCCACCTAACCCTAAGCGCGAAGGAGGAAGCACAAACAGACTGTGACCACTTCAGCTTTCTCCAGGCCACCGGAGAAAATATAGAGAGCCTTTCAAGCCACAGTTTCTCCCCGAGCGCCGTGGGGACCTGCTCTTGAGGCATTCGTCTGCTTGAGCTTGGGATTCATGGGACTCTCCCAGCGCTCCGACTGCCCCAGGCCCCGCGGGTGCCCAGAGGCGCTGGTGTCTTTTCCACTACTTGCTGCCCACAGCTGAGGCTGGATGCAGCAGGGGAAACCGGAAAGGCTTCACTGCTCTGCAGCGGCTCTCCCAGGACACATGGGTCTCCCTCATTAGTGTGTAACTGCACGGAGTGAAAACCGCATCTTTTTAAATGCATTTATTACGGTCAAGTTCTCTATATGCATCAGGGTGGACATTCCCGCTGCTTGGGCTGTTGCAGCTGCCGCCGCGACGTCCCTCACGGGCCAAGGACCAGCCTGCGGGGGGTCACTGGGTGACCAGCCAAGCGGGGCGGCCGCCTCGGAGCAGCCTCCCGCTCCGGGGCAAGGAGAGAACCGGCAGCTCCGCCGGCCCCGCGGGGCTTTGGCTGCGGGAACGGCGCTCGCGCTGCTCCCCTGCCGGCTCCCTCCTTCCCGCGCAGAGGTGGTGTCTGCCAGGGCAACGTAACGCGGCAAGAGGGAGGCTCACGTGGACCCTCATTCGGGGCTAAATGGAGGGCTTTGGTCCCCAGGAGGGCACCCCTCGAGAGCGAACGGGTGGTGTGCGGGAGCGCAGCCCTGCCAGGCGGGTACTTGTCCCTTTGCTGTCCCCCTGTCGCCCTCTTCCTAATGGGAAACCTTCACTTTGGCGTAGGTGGCCTCGGCGCCGTCCTCGCGCAGCTCCGGGCAGCGCGTCACCTCGGCGTAGACGGCGTCCGAGGCGCCGCCGGGCTCCTCCTCCTCGAAGTTCAGGTCAGCGTAAGTCACCTCGTCGGGCGCAGGGGCTGGGGGAGGCTGCAGGGAAGAGGGCGCTGAGCGGAGCCCGCGCCCTCCCTTCTGCCTGGGCCACAAACACAAACTGGGCCACAAACACAAACTCTCCGCTCAAACTTCCCTTCCCAGCAACTGTTTGGGAAAAACACTGGTATTTTTTCTTTCTTTCTCCCTTGAAGACCCTCCCGCTCACAGCTT